CTAAAAAATTATTTTTACAGTTATGAGCTCGTTTTAGTATAATAAAAGTTTTTCTCTTTATGCAATACAAATTAAAATAGAACAGGCCAGAAACCTTGGATACAAAGTAACAGAAGTAGTAGGTAAATTTGGATATAAAAAAATACGAGCTCGGTTGCACATAAATTCATTCTAAGTAAATATTTTTAACAGGACCGGCTGCGATAAATGGAATCGGTAAATATGGAAAACTCGATAATTAAAAAAATTATTTTTACAGTTATGAGCTCGTTTTAGTATAATAAAAGTTTTACAAATTTTTTCTCTTTATGCAATACAAATTAAAACAGAACAGGCCAAAAACCTTGGAAACAAAGTAAAAAAAGTAGCAGGTAAATTTGGAAATTGTTATACAAAAAATTAGGAACTCGTGCATAAATTCATTCTAATATTTTTCTTTCTATGCAACACACGCAGAACCGATCACAACATCAGTAAAGGATCAAGCTAGTAAACACCCATACATGACAACCGCAATAGTAACAGCAGGTGGTGCGGGTGCGGGGTTTTTTTTAGGACCTCCTGCAGTTGTCCTTGCGGTAAATGCAGCCGGATTCACCGCTGAAGGAATAGCAGCTGGCTCTACAGGTGCTGCTTTAATGTCCTCATACGGAGGAATGGTAACGTCTGGTAGTTTGTGTGCTACATTACAATCCATCGGTGCTGCTGGAACTGGGCTTGCAACGACTGCATTTTCTGCATTTTCAGGTGCATTTTTTGGGTATGCTTCTAGCAAGCCTGCTGATACTAACGAGACTCAAGTGGAACAAGATGAACAAAAAGAAAAATATGATTAGGGTAAGTCGCAACATTCGTTCGAATCGGTCAAAGGTACAAACTAATTATAATCATTTTAGCTAGTATGAACCTTAGTATGCGCGCGTAGCGCGTTTTTCGTTACAAAATTCACGATTTTCTAGAATATATACAAAATCTAAAAATTTTTGTCTCGCAAAAATTATAAAATTTTACATATAATAATTTGATTGTTATGCGTTCATCAAAGAAGCGTTATCTTTTATTTCCCTTTACAAAGATATTAGATCTAAAGATTAGCTTGATCAATTTAAATTATAGATCAGCTCGTTTGATTTGTAAACTAATTTAATAGATTTTAACAAGCAGTTTTAACTAATTTCAGCTAATTTCTTTGTAATACATGATTCAGTTAATCAAAGTCTTGTAACAATAATGAGAATTTTATCTGAAGGTATTTTACAAAATATGAAATTATTTGCATTTCTTGCTATAGTGAAATAATAGCTAATTCTTGAACTGGCTAATAGTTTATTTTATTGCAATTCATTATAATTGTAAGATTATTTTGTTAATGGTTGTAAACAAGATAAAATGCAATATGAATAAGTTTTAATTTTATAACTTATGAT